GATCTAAAGGGTATCAAAATTTACAAAAAAAAAAAAGCTTAATATTTATTTGTTTACTTTATTAAACATTTCTTTCAATGTAAGTTGTTTAAGTTGCTTCGTTTTTTATGTGATAATACATTCTCTTTAATTCTATAAACAGACATAATTTCTTGTTCAGTTACAAAGTGCCGCTGTTCAAGCAAGTCCTATAATTGCTGTGTCGAGAATACCGACTAATTTGTCAATCGAAATTTTTTCGTTTTCAAATAACCTCTCTGTCACTTTCTTTGCTATCGGAAGCGAATTATAATGACGAGTGGAATTTGATTTAAATCATATCAAAGACGGAGTACATTGAGATGAAGTACTACATTGAGTAAGCAATTATAAGCCAAATAAAATAAAAACATCTGCCCTTAAGATAAGGATAGTGCTGACAGATCAACTTCCAATTCATTGCACGCCGCCACTCCGAAAGATACTTTCGCTTTGTATATCCTTTACATATTAGTAAATATATATCGGAAATTCTATTTGACATAATCGAAAGTTCAAGCTTACTTTTATAAAATTGCTCTAACAGTCTGCAAAAAATAATAATCCGGATCCAATTCAAAGATTAAGGAACAACGCAATCTGCAACATTAACTGAAATAGATAATTAAATAATTTTAGCTTAGCTTATCCTGTCCGTTATACATTAATCGCGCATTCGTGAACGTATTTTGTGCACGCGCTCACGCAAATTCGCAGCGGTAAAGGTCTTACGCGCATGCGTCAAAGCTTTGAGGTCCGGATTATAGATCATTCCGGATTATGGGTGTCCGAATTAATGACTTTTGACTGTATAAGCCAAATAAAATAAAAACATCTGTCTTGAAGATAAGGATAGTGCTGACAGATCAACTTCCAGTTCATTGCTCGTTGCGTCATCCCCTCCCCCTCCCGCAGAGCACCGTGAAATTAATAAACATATTTCGGAATGGTTAGACAATCAAAGGATATGCCTTTATCCATTTTTTGCAGCAATTCCACTTTTTGTTTGATGGACATCGATTTCGCTTTGTAAATCCTTTGGTAGCTGCAGAATTGGAAATTCTTTTTGACATAATCGAGAGTTCAAGCTTTCTTTTATAAAATTGTGCTAACAGTCTGCAAAAAATAATATGCCGGATTCAGTTAGAAGATTAAGAAACAATGCAATCTGCAACATTAACTAAAATAGATAATTAGATAATTTTAGCTTAGCTTATACCGTCCGTTATACATTAAATGCGTATGCGTAAACATATGTGCTTGCGTAAAGGTATTATGCGCATGCGTTGACGCATGCGCAGAAAGTGTAGCTTTGAAATCTGGATTATAGATCATTCCGGATTATGGACGTCCGGATTAAAGACTTTTGACTGTATATATAAACAAACAAAATATTAGATGAAATCGGTAAAAATTTAATTTTACTATGCCTGCATAAAGGAGGGTGAATGACATAAGTGGATAATGTTATTGTTCGGATGTAAAATTCTCCTCTTTGAAAACATCAGGTAATTAGGGGACATCTTCTTTTATCTTTGCTTTGTCTCTTAAGTAGACACTCAGTTATGCTTGAGACTCAGTCAGCCTCTAGCAGTTACCCAATACGATTTGCTATTGTCAATGTTTTAAAATGTTTTTAAAGTAAGACATAGCATTGTCATTGAAAATGCTTATGCTGCTTGTCATTGTGAAATCTTCATGAAAATGCTGTATCTTATTGTATTTTGGACAAATTTTGTGGATTAGAGAATTAGTCATTTTTTTTTTTTTTTTTTTCTTCTTCTGAAGATGTTGTTTCCGTTATCGTCTTTTGTTGCTGGTTCTGAATTTGTAGTGCAGTAGAAACCCAGAAATCCGCAGAGCTTGGGACCAGAGGTTGTGCAGATTTCAGGAGAGAAAAGATAAATCATAACATTCAGACTAAAAGTGCAAAATGAATAAGGCGCATTAGATACATTTCATTAAATTATTATATACATTATTGCAATAACTTATATGTGTTAAATTATTATTACATATATAAATTGATTGTATTATTATATGTACACAGCATCGAGGTTTTGCCGATTTTGCCTCATGCAGAGATTTCTGGTGTTAGAATCACTGTTGCTATAAAATTTCAACAGCTTTTCTTTATTTTTCCGTATATCATACACAATCGTGTCGCAATTCCGTATGATTCTGCTATAAACCAAGGAGTAGCACCTGCTTCCATCTTTTGCAGAATTTGCACTTTTTCTGTTACTGCTAATGCAACGTGTTTACGTTTTCAGCATTGCAAGCAGTAAAATCATGAGTGCATTTCTTATCTTTAACTGTATTAAAAAGGGCTGAAATTTAAAATATTCTTTATTTAAACACAAAATATCCGGATAAAAAAAGAAGGCAGCACGAAATAATCTTGTGAAATAACAAAGCTCAGAAAATAACAACAACGTCAATTGTGAACTTGAGAGAAAAGTTGAGTGAATCATCTGCTTTTTTACCTCGATGCAGATTAGAGGGGGTAAAAACTTTTATCATGATGTCAATAAGTTGGTATTTCCATTATGACTCATTATTATTCGGTAATTGTGACGTCATTATTTGGTAAGTATTTTTTCTTCAACATTTAATACTCAATGTTGCAGTTTCCAGAACTTATAAACTGAATGTTTATATTTTGAGAGGCAATGTGGATTTCAGGTTGGCGGATTTTCGGTATTTGACTGTAGTTCTTCCAAGTTGAGCTCCTTTCTATGATCTTCTAATAACTTTTATACATCTTCTTTAACATTTAGCCCTTGGTTTTGTGTGGGGACATAAATAGCATAACTGAAAAGTCCTAAATATCAGTCTCTACTTGCAACCTAATCTTACATGAATTTCCTCCAAGCAGCATTCATGTTCTTATAAATCACTTGCTGTGAGGCTTTGTTAATGAGGGCTAAGAAATGGAAAATATTAAATTGATATTTCTAAAAATCTTCGAGTGTTAATTGTGTGGCTCAGGCAACCTAAAAACACCTTTGAAAATCATACATTGCCACCTGAGTGTTCATAAATTAAAGAGGCCGTTTGTCATCTAAGGTGTCTTTTTGTTCAAATAATTTTTTCATCTAGAGAAGGCATTTGTGATCTTAGGTTCCACTGTAATTAGTTTATCTTTGATAATTTTACCCAGATCAATCAAAAGCATATATCTGATAACTATAAATTTTTAATTTTAGAATTCATTTTTTTAACTTGCTCTTTGTTAATCATAATGTAACATTTTTAGAAAATTAATATTGTTACTTAGGCATTCCATGTATACATTTCTCAAAATTATGCGTTTGTAGAAAAAATGGTCTCTTTTTTTTCCTTTAAAGGCCTCAGATTATCATTTGTCTCTTATTACGTCCATTTGAGAAGCACCTGTGCTATCACGGATTCTTTTATTTGTCAATGTTTGTAGAATTTCAGTGATGCAAGATGAGAGAAACGTATGTGTATGAATATGGCTTTTAATTACATTGCTATTACATATGAACCTTATGTAGTTTTTATGATTCAGCTATGAGTTGTGATACTGGTATTAAATGGACCTAAGAAATAAACACTGGCAGTTTTAGATAATTGTAAACATAATTAATAGTTTAATAATTTCTTTTAAATTGCCATTATGTCTTTATTAACCCATTCAGTGATTACTTGTCACGGAAATCTAGAATAGGATGTTTTAGGTAGCAGAGCAAAGCCAGAAGCTTTTCTGGGCGTACCACTTGAGTTTAATCTCCTTTTACACTAATATAAAATGTCTGTGTGGGAATTATTGTTGATTAGGATTTGTGAATTTATAAAATGTGATTTAAATATTAAATATGAAATGATATAGTTGAAGACTGGGAAAACATCCTTTCAAAGATATTGAATGCACTTGTATGCTTGAATGGGTGACATGAAGTGTCTATCTGGCACTTATTTCTACTAAGTTTTACTAAGTGGTCACAGCAGTTAGAGGATAAAAGGCAATATATATATTGCTAAACATTATTTATAACAATGTATATTGCTAAACTAACTTATGTTTAGCTTAGCTAACAATGTATATTGCTAAGACATGGATATTCTGCTCTTTTTGCTTATTTTAAAAGGCTGCTATATGGTGAACAAATAACAATTTGGAAATTAGGCGTATTACAAATTTCTAGAAAAGTATGCTTTAAGAAGAGCAAGAGAGGAATTACATTGCTTTGGATAACTGATATCTGCATAAAACTTATCTAATCAAAGGAAAAAAAATAAGCATTATAAATAAATAAAATTTAATGCCAAAAAGTGCTAAACAAATTTTAAAATGTACCATTTTCTTTGTTAAATGCTAATAAAAAAAATTTTCTTGCCAAATGCTTCGGGGAAAAAAAAAAAAAAAAACAACTAGATCTAGCATTAAAAATGTCAAATTGGCAACACTACTATCTATCTTGTTCAAACATGGCAGCCATCATAAAACATAGGAAGATACTGTATTGCTATAGATTGCAATCATGTGTCTATGAATCGACAATTTTTAGTAGCTTAAAAAAGAAGTCAAATAGTAAAACCTGTTATGTATGCTTTCCTTTTTAAGACTAATCTACATGAGTAGACAAAATTGGTCAGTTACACAGTAAAGTCTCCTTTTGCAGATATGTTGCCTGATAGCATTTCATCGACACAGGGTAGTTTTGTATTTAATTTGCTGTAAGCTGTTAAACTAATCAAATATAAAATTTGAAAGCTTTCAGATTTTTTTAAATGTTTATATTAATGGCATATCATAGTTATTTAGGAAAATCTTGTTTGATTGAGTTGACTGCAAGAAATTGTCTTACAATCCCAATGCTATTTCTTCTCCTTTTTTTTTTGTTTTGTCATTATCATATACATTTCAGTTATTGAAATTTAAATATTGTTTTAAACAATTAAAAGGGTTTTAAACTGGAGTCTGAAATGTGTACTAAAGTAATATTTATGTTTAGGTATCAAGGATGACATTTCAGCCTGCAATAACCTGGTGATTTTTAAAAATGGATGCTTCCTGTTATTGCTGCTCTCATGATAAACTAAAACATGCTGAGCCAGCTGCAGGCGAAATGGAATTAGATGCTGCTCTGCAAGAGCTGGGAATGCTAAGCACTATCACCAACAGCCGATTAGACTACCTCAATGAAAAGGTGAAAAAAAAGCGTTCTAGTAACTCTTTATCATCTGCACCTCTGTGCATTGTGCAGATGAATTCGCAATTTGTGACTAAATTCTCTTTATCAAAAAATTCTGTTCCTGGTGCAGATAGTGAGTCGGAAGAAGAAAATGATAGCTCAGCTCCTGGCCGGCCTCATGGTTCCATAGAAGAAAGTAAATCTGTAGTAAATCCAAAATTAATATGCGAACAAAAAATGCGGCGGGTCTATAAAGGTATAAGGCGGAGGGATTATATGTTTAGGCCTTATGACTTTCCATGGAGGCTGAAGCTGGAAGACTCTCTGAAGAACATTCCGGTTGCTGCCGCTGTGTCAGATAGAGCTAGTCCACCGACAGTATCTCGACAAGACAGTGGCAACAAGTCCAATCCAAGTAGTCCAGTTAAAAGCCAAAAATCTCTGACCAATTTAGGAAGCTCAATATTTCGCTCACGTTCCTTAGACGATTTGGAAATAAGCAAGTTAGAAGCTAAAGATGATAGTTGTTATGAAACCGGTAGAGCTGAAATAGATACAATGTCTCAGCGTATAAGTAAACTTCATGTCAGTTGAAATAGTTTGAAGGTACGGTTTTCCTATTTTAAAGAAAATGATATGTGTTGTTATGACTTAAGCCACTGCTGAAACATGTAATCTTTTTTGATGTTGTAGATATGTTAGTCTTGTATAGTAAATATGATTATTAAAGACTTTTTTGTTTTATTTTTTATTTTAATTTTACTTTGAGAATAATAAAGGTTCTGAGGAAGTAAAATAATTCAATATATATTTTGCAAATATATAATCTAACAAGTTATATATGAAATCGTTCATTATTTTGATGTGAAACGTATATATATTTATGTCTAAAAAAATGAGCTTTTTATAAATATTTGAGTTGAGGATTCTTTTATTCCATTTTTATTTAAGAATTTATTTCTTGTATATCTTTTACAAATGGCAGCTGCAAATATTAAAAAATGTTCTGCTTTCATTTATTACATAGTATGTGAGTATTTCTAATAGTCTAACTGTTATAAATTTTTAATTTAAAGTATTAATAGTTAAGCTGTCACTTTTCAATACAGAAATGTATTTACTGCTATGTTGCATTTGGAAACTTTGCTAATATTTAAGAGTATAAAAACTCTTTTAACTGTGGCAATTTGTTATTTTTTCTTATGTAAAATTCTTGCAATAAAAAACAGTATGATAGATCAAAATAAAATTATGCTCAAAAATTTTTATTTTTTGGTAGCAGCTTAGTGTGAAAAAGTTGTTGCTAAAATATTTCTTATACCTATCTTCTACAGCTATGTTTTCCTCCCAAATAAATATTAATTATAATTAAAATGTTTTGAAAAAGTTTCCAAGTGTGTTTATGTGTGGCTTCAATTTTTCATGCTTTTAAGTATATTAATTGTTTGTCTTGAGTTAAAACAGTTTGGGTGAAGGTCTGTTTGTAACTTGTTATAAATTATTAAAAAAATTATCTTCAACTAATAAACAATTTAGAAAGAAAGGTGTACATTGTCAGAAATTGAATTATGCTGTTTTTTATTTTATTGTTATAGTATGTCCAGCAGTGGCTTAGATTTTTTATTCTTATTTGTTTATTGTTGGCAAGTAATGTGATGATCCCCATTGTGGCATCAACATTGCTAATGAAATGTACATTTGAATTAAATCATTCACTTATATCAAGTATAGTCATTCATAACTTTGGTATCTTTTACAGAATGTATAGAATTGTGAAATTTATCCATTTTATGCCTTCTTTCTTTTAAATTCTTCAAGCATATAGCTTTTGAATATTTTTGTCTTCAAAATAATTTGATGTTTTAAATTATAGATGCTTGTTAGATCAGAACTAAGGCTTCCAGTTAGCATTCTTTCACTACACATCACCTTCAATTACATTAAGTACTGGAAGGAGAGAGAAAAGTAAATAAAAAAATATATTTGATTAAAAATATTAAGCAAGGTATTTTAATATAATGGCAGTTATTTAGCAGTCATTTCCTTCTCTGACAATTCTAATCAGTCAACATTAAAAATTAATTTATTAGCCAATCATAGAAATAATTTCCATTTAATAATAAACACATGACATTTACCAGAAAATATAATATGTATTTTCTGATGTTTGTTAATTCCATAATTAAATAATATTTCAAATAAAAACATGTGCACAATGGATATTTTGTTGAATCAAATTTGTATGCTGATGTAATTTTTTTATGGAAATTTGTATGTTTTTTTGTGCTATAATACATAGGTGTTCATAGTATAATTTTCTGTTCATAATTAACATTAAAACCTTATAATAGAGACTGTTTGAGCTAATTATAATAATATGGAAGGCGGGAATAGAAAAAAGCTATTTTTTTTTTTAAATAATTGAAACTCCAATTTTGTTCTTGTGACATACGTATTTCACTTTCAATAGAGGATTTACATTTATCAATAATGAATCCGTAGAGAATAAAGTCCATTCACATATCCTATGTTATCAACTGGAAAAATAATTAGCAGTCTTTCCCTTCTGCAGTCAACATTAAAAATTCATTTATTAGCCAATCATAGAAATAATTTCCATTTAATAATAAACACATAACAGTTTTCAGAAAATATACAAATCACATATTTAATATGTATATGAATTCAACTGCAGTTTAGGATTGTTTCAAGTAGTATTTAATGCATTAGTTTTAAGGAGGTAATGAGTATTTTAAGATTAAAGTATTTGAATATATCATTATGCATTCATGTCAATTACTTTTATAGAAGTTTAAGAATATAATGCTTTTGAGAATTTAATACGAAAATACTTAACGAAAATTTCCTAAATTTTGTGTTATTGTTTTACTGTATTCAGTTGTTTCAAATTTTTTTCCATATATGCCAGAGAAAAGAGATTGATGATGCAGAGATGTTCAATTATTTATAATTTCTCTTGGTTTTTTTTTAGCTGAGAGAACTTGTTTGTTCTCATGCTTTTTTTTTTTTTTTTTTTTTTAGCTCAACTTTAGGAGTTTTAGCTAAGTTTTGAGAAAATAAATTTAGAATTAAATTTTAATTAATAGCAAAGTATTTGAAAATCTTGCAACTTAAAAAAAATTTGGTGTCACAGGTTTTACTTTAAATCCCCCCAAAACTTGCTTTTCTCAGTTTTTTTTAAATAATCATTTTATGTATATGTTCAGGTAAACATATTCTGCATTAAAAAATCTACTTTTAGTTTTCTATTTTAAGTAGATACCATTGTATTTCCTATTTGTTTAGTGATATTCTCTTCTCAGATTTTTCTAATAATAGTTGTAATATTATTTCTTAAAGCAATTCCATCTATACTAATTTTCTTGTTAATGGAAAATAGAGTAATGGAGGAATTAAGAACTGTGTAATGTTTAACTGAACATGTGATTAACTGACATGTAAGTGAATGCATATGTTTGAAACTGGAAGCCCTAGTAATATGAAAATATTTTTGTTCCCTGAAATTTTAGCATCATTTAATGCAATTTTAATTAAAATTAAGTGAAATTTAAAATTTTCTAGGTGCTTATTACAGACATTTAACTGTGAAGATACCAAATTTATGGCCAGTATTTACTTTTGTACTAAAAGCAAATTCAGTGTGAATTGAAATAGATGGAGACTGTGATTAAAAAAAAAAGTACAGTTTTTACTTTTTTAAATCTAGCTATGATGCTCAGTCCATGTAAGCCTTTTCTTGTGCACTAGCCCTCCTATTTTTTATGAGTGAACCATAGTGTTGGCTTCCTTAATCAGCTTAAATAAATTTAAAAAAAAATTATCAGCTGAAATGCAATGACTTGTTAGAATCCTTTGCTAAAGATTTTAATTCTTTATTTTTATTATCATTCACATTATAATTGAAAAATGCATAGTTTTTATTAGGCTGTGTTTGAGACCTCTTGAAGGTCTCCTTCTTGAAGGATGCATGTTTACTTAATGATTTCTGTTGTGATTTGTTAAACAGTCGTCATAAACCAAAATCTCCATGAACCAAAATTAAATCTTTTATATAATATTTCTGTTTTTCTTGTTGGCCCTGCTTTAGATTTTTAACACAATTATATCATACTGCAGTATTTTATACAAATGAAATCTCACCATCAGTTTGTTTTAAAAATAATTTTAAATGAATAAAAATTGCTCTCCTTTAATTGTTAAAACCATAAATGCATTATTTTTATAGAATTTGATTGCAATCAGTCATGGTAATAATACATATCATAGCATATAAATAAAAGTTTTAAAATAAGATTTGTTTTGACATTGGAAAGGAAAGAACATGGTCTATACTGTTGATCTAAATTTAACTATAACACTGAACTCTGAGTTTTTAGAATTAACTGGAAAAATATATTGATAAAAAATTAAAAAATTTTTGAGTGTTGGTTTCCTGCTTTTAGAGTAAATGCTAATAACATTGTTTTGAAAAGATAGACCTAATATAATCTAAGACATTGTCAATCAAATAAATCAAAATTTTGTTTTTATTTTTCAAAAATAGTTTACTTGAGGTGAGAAAGTAATTAAAGTTGTTGTGTATGATGATTTTGAGTTATTTGTTCTAATATTTTTTCAATGGTGAAATTTGTTTATTCATCTTAATAAGTAAAAAACCTCAGTTTTATTGAAGCTTTTATTAGCAGGTGCTTCGATGGAAGTTAATGGAATTTGAAGTTTAAAATTTTTCATTTCTACCTATGTAAATCATGCATCAACTGATAAACGAGTTCTTCAAGAAATATCTTATTTTTTCTTAATTAATTAACAGCTTTTGCCTATAGAGAGTTAATATTTGTGTTAAATTGAAAATAATAAAAATTATTCACAAAATGTGAGTTTGAATTAAAAAAAATTAAAGAATAAATGTGACCATAAAATTAGAAGTTGAAACTTTGATGCAAATTTTAGTCGGAATATAATTTTTTAAATTTATTTTTCTCCTCAAAAGGAAACTTAATCACTCTTTTAATAAATTCTTTTACTTTCTTGAAGCTGTAACTCTGTGAAGATAATACACTTAAAATTTTGAAATTTTTCCCTTTAAAGAGTAAAATGCTTAAAACACCATTATGGAATGTCTGTTTTGTTGTGGTTCTTTATAAATGTAGATTGGAAACCTGTATTCTTTGGTATATAAGAAAGCAATTCTTGGAAGGAGGGTTGGTGCATTCCTACATATATTAATACATATATGTATGTGCAGTCGTGCAGCTGTGATTTCTTCAATGCAAGTCTTAACAGATGGTATTGTTTGGTCAATTTTAGAAACTGTTTCACAGAAAGAGTCTAACTTCTGCCTGAGCTATGTTTTTGATGATATTGAGTTTCAGATAGTAAATAATACTCCATATAAATAGTCAAGGTATGTTGCAGTGTAGTGTTTGCTTTAATGAAGGTATTATAATGAGCTTTTATAACTGATATTGTAAAAAACTTGAAAATGTATAAAATCTGAGATTTTGATTTAATTTTTAACTACATTTATTTGGAAATAATTGAAACTAATTATCAATTTGGTAGAAGTTTGAAGAGTGTGTTCTAAATAAAGTATACAAACTTCATTTTTTTTTTTGTTCTGTGTACTTTTTGTGTTTTATTTACTTCACAAAAATTATTTGTATGATATTATTATCTATTCCCCCTGTTGTTGTTTTAAGATAACATAATATTTTAAAGATATCATTTAGTCTGTGGTTGGTTGAATTCTTAATGAAATAGTATTGTATTACATCTCTAATTTCCATTATTATAGAAGCAGCAATATAATTTCAATGTAATAAAACAGCTTCCAGAATGTGAAGTAGATGTTTTCCGTAGGTTCATATTTATTTGCTAAAAGCATATTTTTTAATCATTTATTAAAAAATTTTGTATTTCTAAAACTTGCTTTTGATACATAAAAAGGTGATGAATATATAAATCTGATCTCATCCTGGAAAAGTCATAAATAGAGGATGGTGGAGTTTAATTATAACTAATAACTATAATTTTCTAATGCACTGGTATTGAAACTTTATGACCCCCCCCCAAAAAAAAAATAATTTTGTGACGTCAATCAGAGTGTTAACTCAGTTGTATACCATCAGTTTGGAATTTTATCTGCTATGCATCTCCAATATAAATTATTTGGTTACGACTCAGTTTGAATACCACTGATGTAACAACTTGAATAAGTGTGAAAGCCACTACAGAATGAATTGCATGGGAATTAGAATGGGGGAATTAAAAAGTAGAGAATAAATCCAGCTTTAAAGTTTTATAGATATTTTGAAATTTGGCAGTAATATTAAATGTAATTAAATAATATTAAATGAAGGTGGATCAATTACTTTATTGTTTTATTTTGCAAAGTAATTCAAACTTTGCACAACCATTAGCAGTAAGGTTAACACAATAAATTAGGTTATGAAATTAATCAAAAACTCACTGTACACAATATTTCAGATAAATACATTATTAAACTGTGTTCACACCGAACACACTTTTCTTTCTTTCCTTTTTATAATATTAGACAATGACATTTTTAAAGTTTTTTTGTCATGTAATAGGAGAAAATATACATTACTTCCTTACAATCTTTATGGAAAGCGGTATTCAAAGAGGAAGATGGAACCTTTCATACAGTTAAAATAACCTAATTCAAAATCTCTTTCTCAGATACAAAGCAATCTGAAAAGAAATTGTTTTCTTGTCTGTATCAAATGCAATGAATTCATACATTTACAAGATTTTTTTCCTCCTCTCCTTTTAGTTAAATTATTATCTGATGAAGTGTGTTAACTGTAATTTGAATATGAATAATGCTACAGCATATTTAACATCTTATATAAAATAAGCATATTAATAATTCAAAGAAAATATATCTTTATTTAATAGTGCCTTCCGAGAACACTAGGTCGTGGTGATCTTGGCTGATCATGTATTGTATGCTGGAAGCTAGACTTGAATATAATATAGATAATCAAGAACTTTTGTGATTTGAATTTCTAATAAAATCTCATTAAATATCCAAAAACCAGCTTATAATCATAACTGTTGGATAAAAATTAGCATAATTTTCCATTTGTGCCATTTTTTTAAATTTTAGTGCATTGAAAAATATAGCTTGTATTCTAATTTCATGCTTAAAAAAGAAATAATGAAATATGTATATATTAAAGATAGTCAGTAAACTTTATTAAATATTATTATTGATGGGGTAAAAATAGCTTATTTTCATATCTAATCACTATCAAACAGTCAAGGACATGATTGGCAGATTTCTTTGCTCCTGATGAAGAGGTACGTGTACTTGTCAGCCCTTGAAATCAGTCTTGACACCAAACACAAGGTTGTTGCTTTGCCTAATTTTAAGTTTTACTTAGTGTATTTCTCTTCTGTTTTGACATGGTTAATACTTAAGAAGATGACCCTGTAAACTGCTGCAGGTTTCACTTCTGACTACTCTTTTAAAGCTCAAGATGCATATTGTTTCTTTGCTTTTTATTACTACTCACAATGTAATTAATATTTTCTGCAACTGAAATTTTTCTGGTTGCAAATTTAATTATTTCATAACTTTCCCTGGTAAAAAAGCCTCTGACTTTTAAATTTTATAAAGGTGAATAGTCAAACAAAATGTTGACGTGAAGAAACGAGAAATGATAAAAAATTAAATTTGATCAATAAAAAAAAAAATATCGAAATGTAAATTACTTGCATTCTCAGCCTGATCTGTTGGGAAAATACAGGTGATTTAACAGTATGCCAATGAAAATACCTACCAGATTCATTTGATTTTTTCAAAAGTACCTGCGTCAAGTATATGGATCATAAGAAAACATTACTAAGATCCTGTAATCTCATTATCTTCCTTTTATGTAGATTAATTTCATCTTTCATTACTCAATTAAAAATCTTGGACTTATTGCAATCCTAGACTATCTGGGTGTCAAGCAACATTATATACAGTATGTCTCAAAAAGAATATACATATTTTAAATGTATATATTTATTAAACTGTATGACATATGAATATGAAACTTTACACACATATGTACAAACCTCTCAAGTTCAGATTAAAGATGTTCAATATGTCCTCCATCAGCGACACAAACAATATCACAACGATACTCAAATTCCTCCCATACTCGGGCAAGCATGTCCATTGTCACTGATCTTATGACGGTACAGATCCAGTTCTTCACCTCTTCCAGTTTCTAGGGAAGTGGAGGTAGTTGTCAAATCCTGTGACCGTGGAGGGCAGCTGAGACAAGCTAAGTCACCAGCTCCTTGATGACCAATCCAACTGTTCGGTAGAGTTTCATTCAGATAATCACGCACTTGGCGACACCAGTGAGGGGGTGCCCCATCTTGTTGAAAAATGAAGTTGTCTTCATGCAACCTCCAAAACAACCAGTTTTGTAACATAGTGAAGTACTGCTAACCGTTAACTGTGTTTCCATCAAAGAAGAATGGGCCGTAAACAGATGATAGGATATCGCACAAAACATGTTCATTTTGGGCGAATCTTGTACATGTTCAATGGCTGCATGTGGGTTCTTTAGGCCCGAAATTTGAACATTGTGTTTGTTTACATGACCACTAACATGAAAAGTTGCTTTATCACTGAACACGATGTGTTGTGCAAAAGTGTAATCATTGTCAATAGCATCAATAATCTCATTACAAAATGCCACATGCTTACATTTGTCCATCAGGATGCAGACAGAGCCTGTAACAAATGTAACTTGTACGGCTTCATAACCAATAGACATCTCAAAACAAGCCAAATTGTTGTTGTAGGCAGTTGTAACTCCTGACTGGCACAACGAGTTGATTTTGAAGGATTACATTGGAAAGCAGTTTGAATTTGTGCAACATTTTCGTCGGGAACATGAGGGCGGCCAGGACTCTTTCCTTTACATACACATCCTGTATTTACAAACTGTTGATACCATCTGCGAATGTTCCTCCCATTCACTTTGGTACCTCAACTTGAAACGTCTTTATACTGTAATCACAAAATTTTACTTCACAAACTCAAGAACACGAAATGATTTCTGCTGCGGAGTAGCCATTTTAAATACGAGGGCTATCCAGAAAGTAGATTACGTTTTGGAATAAAAAAATAAACAAAGTATAGGAAACAAATTTTATTATATACAGATGAAAGCCACACTCAAATACTACTTTTCTACATAGTCACCATACAAATTAAGGCATTTATCGTAGCGATGTACGAGCTTGGAAATTCCTTCGTCGAAAAATTCGGCCGCCTGCGCCTTCAACCACTTCGTTACCTCCTCTTCTTGCAGCTGTGCGTCGTCATCAAAACGCTGCATAGCCAGCCACTTCTTCATTGCTGGGAATAGGTGGAAGTCGCTCGGTGCCAGGTCGGGACTGTACGGCGGATGAGGAAACAACTCCCACTTAAAAGATTCAAGAACTTTACGAGTGACATTTGCCGTGTGGGGCCGGGCGTTGTCGTGAATCAACAAGATCTTAGAGCTCAACATTCCTCTGCGCTTGTTTTGAATTGCTCTTCTGAGTTTTTTTGGAGAGTTTGGCAATACCTTTGAGAGTTTATTGTAGTGCCCTCTTTCCAGGAAGTCCACCAAAATTACACCTTTTCTGTCCCCAAAAAACAGTCGCCATCATCTTCCTTGCCGACATTGTTTGCATGCATTTCTTGGGGTTTTGGGGAGAACTTGTGTGCCCCCCACTGCATTGATTGCAATTTCGTTTCACAGTTCACATGTTTCACCATGTTTCGTCACCAGTAACGATGCGATCGAGTAAAGAGTCACCATCCTTATGGTAAGCGTCCAAAAAGTTCAACGCTGCAGCCATTCGCTGATTTTTTGTGGTCCTCTGTCAAGATTTTTGGAATCCATCTTGCACAAAACTTTGTGTAACCAAGCTTTTCGCTGATGATTTCGTGCAACAAACTTCGCGAAATTTGTGGAAAACTCAAAGAAAGTTCCGTTATTGTGAAATTTCGATTTTTCACGGACTTTAGCATCGACTTTTTCGAGAAGTTCGGCGGTCACTATGCTGGGTCTCCCACTTCGATCTTCGTCGTGAACATTGGTTCGGCCATTTTGAAATCTTATGACCCACTGACGCACTCCACCTTCAGTGATAATGTTGTCCCCCCATACACTTCACGAAGCTGCCGATAGATTTCTATCGGTTTACAGTTTTTTTGCAGTCAGAAACCTTATTACTGAGCGCACCTCGCAGCTCGCGGGATTTTCAATTAACGCAGACATTTCAAACCGTCACAGTATCTGAATGGAGCACAGCACGAACCTCTCACTAGCACGGCTAGATGCAGACTGAGCTGCGCAACGCTCTGACCCCAAGATGGCCGCGCTAGCCCCGCCCCTAGCGGACACAGACGGAAACGTAATCTACTTCCTGGATGGCCCTCGTATGTGATGGTTACCATGCAAAACAGAAGACAACTGACATCTAGTGGCTATGAATATAAACTAGACTATGTATTCGTTTCGTGAATAGTTGAGGCGAGGGATAGTGATCGATAGTTTGGACAAAATAACGCATTGTAATATGTATA